AGCAGCTCCATGGCCCAGTTCCTCCTCCTGGCATTCACAGACAGGCGGGAGCTGCAGCTCCTGCACTTCTGGCTCTTCCTGGGCATCTCTCTGGCTGCCCTCCTGGCCAATGGCCTCATCCTCAGTGCCGTAGCCTGCGACCACCACCTGCACACCCCCATGGGCTTCTTCCTGCTCAACCTCTCCCTCACAGACCTGGGCTGCATCTGCACCACTGTCCCCAAAGCCATGCACAATTCCCTCTGGGACACCACAACCATCTCCTACAAGGGATGTGTTGCGCAGGTCTTTCTGCTTGTCTTCTTTCTTGGAGCAGAGTTTTCCCTCCTCACTATCATGTGCTACGACCGCTACGTTGCCATCTGCAAACCCCTGCACTACGGGACTCTCCTGGGCAGCAGAGCTTGTGCCCACATGGCAGCAGCTGCCTGGGCCACTGGGTTTCTCAATGCTCTGCTGCACACAGCCAATACATTTTCCCTGCCCTTGTGCCAGGGCAATGCCCTGGGCCAGTTCTTCTGTGAAATCCCACACATCCTCAAGCTCTCCTGCTCACACTCAGGCTACCTCAGGGAAATTGGGCTCATTGGGGTTTGTGCCTGTTTAGTGTTTGGTTGTTTCATTTTCATTGTTTTCTCCTATGTGCAGATCTTCAGGGCTGTGCTGAGGATCCCCTCTCAGCAGGGACGGCACAAAGCCTTTTCCACGTGCCTCCCTCACCTGGCCGTGCTCTCCCTGTTCCTCAGCACTGCCACATTTTCCAACCTCAAGCCCCCCTCCATCTCCTCCCCATCCCTAGATCTGATTGTGTCAGTTCTGTACTCGGTGGTGCCTCCAGCACTGAACCCCCTCATCTACAACCTGAGGAACCAGGAGCTCAAGGATGCCATAAGGAAAATGATGACTGGATACTTTTCAGGAGCCAACAACCTGTGTCTTTTCTTCTGCAGAACACTCATTGTGTAACACTTTACTGGCCCAGCCTGCCTTCTAAAGCTTTTGAGAGTGGCAGTGTGGGGAGGTTTCCTACAATTTTTTTACTCTTTTAATGTTGTTAACACATAAATGTACTCTTCATCCCATACCTAATTCACTCTCAACCTCTTTGTTTTGACCTAGAATTGTGTAAATGAGGGATCATTGTCTGTGTGCATTTAAACAAAATAAAAGTTCCTTCAGCAGCTCCTTTGTCAAGCATCCTGCCTTTGTTATTCTGTACATGAGGAATCACAATCTCTGAGTATAATAAAGGACTTGAATTCTTTTTTCCTGATTCTCCCTCCAAGAACTTCCCTGAAGCTGGAGGGCAGTGCCTGTGTGCAGAGGAGAAGGGGTAAAGAGTCCTGGTACAGGAGCACTGCCAGGGACCAGCTGCTCCTGGGCTTTTCAGAGGTGCTCTTTTCCCACTGCCTCCCTCTCCCTTCTGCTCCTTGCCCAAGGCCTGAGTGCTCTGGCAGCTCAGTCACTGCTGTGTGTCAGTCCTGTGATCATGGGCAGGGACAGGCCCTGGGCACTGCTGGGACAGAGCTGGGCTCCTTACCTTCCAGCCTTCTCCTTTAGGCACACAAGGTCGCTTGCATCAGCTTTTCCCTTCAAATAAAGCATTACAGAGAAAGACCTCCTTCCTCCTCAAAATGCTGCAGGAGCTTTGAACAGAAGCCAAGTTTGGCTCACTGCAGGGGGGAAGGGGTGCTGATCCAACCTGAATTAGTAATGGGGAATGATGGAACCCCTGGGAATAGCTGGAGGAACAGAGGAGTATTTTGAAGGTACGGGGCTTTGGAGCAGTACTGGCCTCCGCTGGTTGCCGAATGTCACTGAAGAAGTGTTGGGCTGGACTGCTGTGAGATAAGCACTTTAACATGTGAAAACCAGCCCTTCTATGAGACAGTTGGACCCCTTCACTCCAGACTTGTGCCTGTGCCAAGGGCACAGCACAAAGAAAGGCTCGGAGCAGCCACTTCTCACACGCGTGCTCCGCTGTGAGCCAGCTCCGAGCTCAGCCTGATGAATCCTTAAGTTGCTGGTTTTTCCCTGCAGCCCAGGGTTTCCCTTGCCAGTGTTTGCACAGCACACAGAGTGCAGGGGCCGCAGCAGCTGGGGGGTCCCTGGATCAGGGTCAGGTCAATTAAAATCAGCCCAAGCTGTATTTCTAAGGCTCTGCAACACATTTGTGTGCAATGAATGCACTGTGCTGCTGACAGTCCTGGAAAGAGCTGAGTCTGCAGCACACGTGTATTTGCTAAACAGGAAAAAAAAACATCAAAAAAACCCTTACTGCACCATTCCCAGTCGATGGGGCCAGTTCAGGCCCATTTGCCTCTTTCTGACCTTTGCTATCAACGCTCCTCCCAGCAGATAATTACCCACATGCTATTTTTTTTACCCTGTAATTTCCTTTAATCTCAAATAAATGCTCTAATTGACCTCTGTCCTCCGAGTGTACATGACACATTGAGCAGGGCTGTGCCCACAAAAGACCATTAGAAAGCACTGTCTGTTCACACTGGGGCCACTCCTATTGTGGATGCTTTGAACCAGAAGTCAGACCTCAAATATCTGATGCTGTGAATCGTTACCCAGGCAAAATAGATATTTTTCAGGTGGCTGCTAAAGAAAGCCTATGATGTGGAACTGAAATGGTCCATGTGAGCCAGAGCTCACCTCGCCCAGAAACAGTTTCACAAACAGTTGTTAATTTGCACACTGGACCATTTTGTTTCTGCCCAGACTCTCTGTGCACACCCAGGAGGCTTTTAACCAAATACAGTGCTTTCAAAGTAGCTTGGAATGTTTTCCCCTTCTGGAAATCACAAATTTTAGTGCGAAGAATACCTGCTGCTTATTCCTGCTGCTCCATCCCACAGGCTCCCGGAAGCCCTGAGCGGTGCTTGGCAGCTAACACTTGCTTTCCCCTGCCAGTCACTATTTTCTAAAGAATATTTTTGCCTCTTAGCTGTGGTTAATGGGCTTTGTCTGTCCCGTATGGATGCAGTCAGGGCATCCCTGAAAGGTGGTACTTAATAAAAGAGAACATGTTGATGAACCTTCCTTCCCAGCCAAGCCCTGGGCTTTTCCCATGGGCTCTGTTGCAGTGCACATACCCAAATGACCTTGGGATTTAAGCTGAAAAACTATTGTTTTCTCAATGCCTACTTGGCTTTGGGGCAGAAATTCCATCACTGCTCTCATGGCAAAGGCTGGTGACAAGGGAGGCTGGTGACATTCCCCAGGGGAGCAGTGAGCCCGTAGCATGTCCTGCATTCACTAAGCAGTGCCAGCACAGGTTGCAGCCCCTGCTTTCAGGGCTGTTTTCTCCCCTGGGCTGTTTGATGTCACCTGGCTGGGGTGGCAGTGTGACAGCACAGGGCTGGAGGAGCCCCCAGCCTTCCCCATCCCCAAAAGCAGGGCTCCGGCGTAGCTAATCCCCTGCTGCCAGCTTCCACAAACAATGTCCCTCTAGAGTAAACACAGTTGGGGAAGGAGAAGAGGGAACTTTATTTTGCAGCCATTTGTGGTAGTGTTCACACCTACAACCCCAAGTGCTTTCTCTGTTTACGCACCAGAGCAAGTAATAATAGTATTTTTCATTGATACAGTGATTTTCATCTCTAGGACTCTCTGCAGACCTGGCCTGTGGTCTGGGGATGGCCTCACCTGGGCAGGTGAACTCCAGTCATACACAACAAAACTGTGCTCCTTGTCTCTGCAGAGATTTTGGAAATATCACCTGCCTGCTCAGCACCTTCCAGGGAGCTTCGGTCTCATCTCACCCAGGGCTGCATAAGGGCCCAAGGGATGTTTCTCAAGGCTCAGTCTAGGAAGTGGTTCCACCTGATGGAGTTGCCTTTATCTAGATGGGGACTTCAGGAGTGGAATGACTGAAAGCTCTGCTCTCTCCAGTATCAGAGAAGCCCTGCTCAGCAGGGAGGAGCAGGCAGGACTTCTCTGGAACTCCCTTTCTCTGGAGATATTCAAAACCAACCTGGACACAACCCTATGTAACCTGCTCCAGGTGAACCTGCTTTAGCAGATCTCCAGAGGTTCCTTCCCAACCATTCTGTAATTCTGTGGTTTTCTGGCTCACTGTCCTTAGTGACTGGGCTACCACGTGCATGACCTATGAGAGAGGAAGGCAGGAGGCAGAGGAGCAGTGTAAAACATGGCTAGGTAACTAAAAATAAGAAATGAAAAGCTGAGCATGAGTTTGCAGGAACTGAAAGCAGGTGTAGGATGGACTGAGAGCCGTGGGACAAAACAACTGAGTCACAGAGCAGCAGGTCTGAGAGCAGGAAAGGTAAAACAAATATTGTTGAATTGGCTTAAGACTGCAATCAAAGCTGGAGATTGCATTCCAGTTCTACACACTGAGCTGTTGTTCTATCCTGTTCTAATTTCTGTCAGTGTTATTGTTGGAGGAGCAGCTCCACTCGGGCTCTCAGCTCCTGAAGGAAACATGAGTGGGACTTCAGGAAGGGTGGGTTTAGATTAAACATTAGAGAGAAATTACGGTCTTAAGCTCTGCCAGGGGAGGTTTAGGTTGGATAAATTTTTACAAAGAGAGTAATCAGACATTGGAATGGGCTGCCCAGGGAGGGGGTGGAATCGCCATCCTTGGAGGTTTTTAAGACGAGACTGGATGTGGCACGGCAGTGTTGGATCAAGGGTTGGACTCGATGATCTCGGAGATCTTTCCCAAGCTGGCTGATCCTGTGATTCTACGATTCTATGAATTCTTCCCTGCGAGCGCGGCGAGGCACCGGCACAGGCTGCCCAAAGATGTGGCCGCGCCCCACCCCTGGAAGCGTCCGAGGCCAGGCTGGACGGGGCTTGGAGCAACCCGGGTCTAGGGGAAGGCGTCCCTAAACCACGGCAGGGGTGTGGAAAGGGTCTGATCTTTAAGGGTCCGATGCCATCGCCCCGTGCCTGCCCCGGGCTCTGCGGGGCGGGGCCGGCGGGGGCCGGGCGAGCGCGGCCGGCGGGGCGGGGCCGGCGGAGCGGGAGCGGCGGGAGCATGGAGCGGGCACCGGGAGTCTTCGGGGGACCCAACGTGAGCTGGCGGCGCTGCCGCGGGCAGGGCTGGGAACGGGCATGCACCGGGAGCAGCGGAGCTGGGAGAGGTGGCCAGAGCTGGCTGGAGCTGTGCGTGTCCCGTCAGCGCCGAGGAGATGGCACTAAAGGTGCCCGCGCTGGGTGTGCCCAGGGAGTTTGGGTGGGTGCCTTGCCCTGTTCCCTGTAACACTGCAGCCTCTGTGCTGAGCTGATAGTACAGGGATTTGCCTTGGAAGCAAAACTTCAAAGCTAAAAATTAAAAAAAAAATAAATTTACAAAGGTGATCCTTATTGTGGGGACTGCAAATGCACAAGTGTGTTCAGAGTGATGTTGACTTTGACTAAACCACTTCTTGAGTACAGCCTGACCCCTGACTCTTGGCACGGGTCAGAGCCTGGTGCTGCTGAGGCTGCATGGAGCTCAGCCATACCTTACACAGTGGTACCTTGTGTGCTCAGTCCTTCAATAATGGGGTACAGGGACGCTCTTGGATAAACTTCCTGCATCCACTTGTCAGACGTGATGGCAGTGAGAGGCTGGCTTGGTGCTCCACAGAGTGCAAGGGCTCTGTTTATTGCTCCAGCCGGGGGTGGGTGTGAGATCCATGGTGGGTTGGCGAGGACGTGGCCCTGCCATCCCATGGGAGGCATCACCTGTGATGACACACAGCCACCATCACCTGTTAACGTCACCAGGAGTCTTGTACCGAGGTCAGTGAAGGTTGAGTAGTTGGTGCTGGGAGGATGGTACCAAAGGCTTCCCAGCACAGGAGTAACCTCCTCTTCCTCAAGCACCAAACCCCTGTATCATGTCAGTGCTTGTCTGGAAAGCATGGATGTGTTTTGCAGCAGAGCAGTGTGTTGTGTGGGTTTTGCAAGTCTCCCATGTTTCTCTTTCAAAGACTCAAGCCTTAAAGCATGTGGCAGATTCATCTCCCAGATGCATTTGTGGGTGTTGCCAGGTTTGAGGACAATACTGTGCCCCTTCAACTTCACATCCCTCTTGAGCCACTCGCACCTCTTGCTCCTAAATGAGTGTTTGTGGTGAGCTTAGGATGAGGATAACTTTGCTCCTGACAGGACACTTCCATAAAACCAGTATTTGGCAAACACAGTTCATTCTTTTTTGCAGTGGTTGCCATTTGTCTTATCTCTTGTTCAACTTTGCTCTCCATTAACATTTGCCTGCCACACTTATCTAATAATTGACAAATTACAGCTATAATTGCCCTGTTTTTCAGCTATTGAGATTAATAGAAGGAATTTAAATTACCAGCTTTTAATGGCCTGATAAGTAATCCTGGGCAAGGTCACTGTTAAGGGTTTTGAAACGATGCCACTTTACTAGCTGCAGTTGGTGTTACTTTTACTGTGGTGTTAGGACTGACTTTGGTCATTGTATGTATTTTAAGAAAGACCCTAGAACTACCTCATACAGAAAATCCTTCAAGTGCCTTAGCTTGGATGGCTCTTTATATGCCATATAATAGGCAAACTGAGCAGTTAACTGCTCTGCCATGGCCTGCTGAGCAAACTCTAATAGAGGAATTGTATTGGATTTACGTGGCTGAAAATACTTGGAATGTTTGGTTAACTTTTTCCTCCTTATTTCACTAAATTGAAAATAATCAGACTTGATCTTGGAATGGAACATACTTGTTTGAGTACCTAATTTTGTGTTTGAATTTATTTTTGAAGCTTATTAAGTCTCAAAAAAAACATTACAATATTGCCAGAGAAGTCACGCCAGAACCCTTAAAACTTCTCCTTTTTAAAATCTGAACCAACTTGCTGATATTTGCACCAGTGAGTCACATGCCCTGGTTGAGCTGAAACTTTCTTTTGCATAAAAATGGAAAGCACTGGGTTTGCTCTGATGGCCTTTCTGGGGGCTGTCTGTGCTGAGGACGAACAATTTACAGCCAGTTACATCTTTTGAACTCATCCCTCTGGCTTTCAACAACTCTTTAGTGAAACTAAAGGTTTTATTGAATTGCACTCTGTTTTTTTGATGCCCTGGCAGGAGATCAGTGGAGGTGCAGAAGGACACGAGTGTGGCTGCACAGAGTTGGTCCTGAGAGTTGGTCCTGAGGGTCCTCGCTGCAACTGGGGGAAGAGCAAAGCTCCTGCCCCAGGAAAGCGTTGGAGAGCTCTGCTGCTTTCCTGTTCTTCATCAGAACAAGTGTTGCCACATCCTGTGAGAAGGGAAGGCATCGACCTGGTCGAGTGGGTGGCAACCCTTCCCATGGCAGGGGGGTTGGAGCTAAATGATCTTTAAGTTCTTTCCAACACAAACCTTTCTCTGATTTTATGATCAGTGGTCCTGGAATGGTTGGAGTCTCCTCTGCAGTGATGGTGCAACACTGGTCCTGGACCAGTGTTGAGATCCCCATTTAATTTGTGTGCACAAGCTTCTGCTCCAAATAAACCAGAGGGTTTGGGGTGAGCGACCACGTGCCCGTGGAGCTCTGTGTACCAAGGAACAGAGCCCTGGAAAAGGCACTGGGCTCCTGCATCCATCATTATTTCTGCTTGCTCAGGCATCATCTCCTGGAGCCACAGTTCAGAGAAAACTCTTTCATCTCTATCTGGGTGCTTTCCTTGGCTTCAGGCAAGGTCATGTCACCCACTTGTGTCTGGAAAAGTCTTGTGCTTTGTTTACAGAAATGTAATCTGCAGCGAGCAGCCTCCCAGGGACCTGGAAGCCTGGGGGTTTGCCAGCAAGGTGCCCAGGGGAGATGAGCAGCTGGGTTGTGCCTCTGCTGATTGCATCCTTATCTAGAGCCTTTTAGGCACACCTTTCCATCTTCTCTTGAGTGTCCTTTGGCCATCTAAATAGCATAGATTGCTTCTCAGCTGCAGAAAACGACACCCTCAAACACTGATCTTGGGGAAACCCAAAACTTTTTGGGTTGAACAGCATTGAGCTGCCTTAGTTTAGGTTCCTTCAGACCCAAGGAAATGCTGGCAGGGGAGGAAGAGCCTATTGCTGGTGTTGGAGAGGAACCTTGCTGCTTTACAAGCATCTCACCTGCAGAAGTGGCAGGAGGAGGTGACTTACATGGACAAGGACACCACAGAATCTGCATTCTCGTTGATGGGAATGTCACATTGGGATGTTCTTGCAGGAAACACTTGAGAAGTGTTTGGAGTGAGAAGACCTCAATAGGTTCAGTTGCTTGGTTTTTAAATCCAGTGTGAGCAAATTTCAAGCCAGTAAGTTTTATCCATCAGAAAGGGCTGTCAAAGGGCTGTTGAATATCTCCAGGAGTGGAGCTTGCCTGGTTTTGAAATAGGAGTTGGAGCTCAAGAGTGGAAAGCATGCCAGGGCTCCACATCTGGCAATGCAGATCACATCAGTGGTGTGTTATTTTATCTGGTGCTTTGCAGAACATTTAGTCCTCATAAGCAGGATTGTGTAACTTGAGGTTGGGGGAAAAAGCAGGTTTTCCCCTTTTTAAATCTTCCTCCCTGTAGATTCAGATCGTATCTTAAGGGTAGGAGAAGTGACAGGGATATCTTTTTACAGCCTGCTAATGGTGGTGTCTGTGGGCATATTCCTGACCCCCTGGGCCAGCTGATTGCAACAGTGCAGGATCAGCAGCTCAAGTTGTCCTGAGCCTGGCACCAGTGCATGTTGAGGGACATGTCCTGTGGGGATGGGCTGGCCCCCAGCCCTGCCCCTGCCCAGCAGTGAGGGCCCTGTGCAGCAGCAGTGATGGGTGACAGCCCTGGCCGTGGGTCGGGGGTCTCTGCCTGCACAGCAGGGCTGCAGGGCAGGGTGGGCACAGGAGTGAGCTCGTGGGCATCAGTGCTTAGGCACTGCGAGCCCTGTGCCAGGAGCTCACGTCACCTGCTCTTGGACGCTCCCGAGGATCCAAAAGGGTCCAAGGGAGGTGGACAGTCCGGCGTTGCTCTGCTCGCAGGGACTGCTTACTCGTTTTTCTTCCTCGTAGTTATTGTTTGATACATACCCTGATGCCAGAGGGTATGTGGGTTTTAATTAGTAACCCTGGGTGGTTTAATTATCCATGCAAATATCCAGTCCTCTTCAGAATCTTACTCAGTTCTTACCCTCGGCACCCTGCAGCAAACATCTACGCAGTAGAATGTGCATGATGTTACAACTAACAACTTTGGGTATCAAGTTGCTCAAGTTTGATTAAAAAAATAAAATTAAACATGCATTTTGTAGGCTATGCCGTTACTTAAAAGAAAACAGTTGTGGAAAGAGGAATATCTAGCTGAAACATTTTACAGCCAATATTTTCCTTCCCAGTTTGACTTCCAAATTACATCTGTCGTGTTCCTCCAAAAGCCCCAGCTGGCTGATGGAAAAAACTTGCTTTTGTTTTTCTGGGGCTCTTTCTCCAAAATCCAATGTTTCAGCAATAATCGAGAAACAGGGTTTCAGAGTGAAAAGACCTGAGTTACTGTCCCATTTTTAATGAGTAAAAATTTAAGTGTTTTATTTTGAAACCAGCTTAGTAGCTCTATGGGAAAACTTGTTATTATTTTTTACAGCATCTTGTACCATGGGACTGACCTCTTGTGTAGGATTAGAGAACCTCTAAGCTCTGATAATACCAAGTAATTAACAACCCATCAGGAGCTGATTCTTGGAAGCGAAGTCAAAGTTTTTGTAATGACTCTTAGCAAATTAATTGGTGTTTGGCTGCCTGTGACTTCAAGGAGGAGTAAGCTGGAAAGCAAAGGTGTTTGGGGTTTGCTTTTTTCATTCTTCCCAGACTCTGAACCACGCAAGCTGAATAAGGATAGAGCAGTTCCTGAAAATTACCGGAAGCCGAAAAATTTTCTAAAGACTCATTAAATGTGTGAGCTGCAGCAGCTATAAGAAAATACTTAGTACTTAGATGTTGAAAAATAAACTTTATAATGATTATATTTTAAAAATGTTTCTGTGCTTCCTTGTCATGATTTTGTCCCTGTATTGACTGCATTTATACCCATGTGAGTGCCAGCTACTTATCTCTGAACTTTTGCTGTAACTCTAAGAATACCTGACCCATTTTTCTTATTGCAGGTTGAGCTTCACGTCCACCTGGATGGAGCCATTAGACCAGAGACAATCTTGTATTTTGGCAGGTGAGTTGTGGGGTGAGGAAAGCTCTGGGAGCTGCAGTTCCAAAGCATCATCCCTTCTGCTTCATCCAGGTCTGCGACAGAAGAGCTCCTGCAGGCAGCAAACCTGGCTGGTGCTGGTGCTGGTGCTGGTGCTAGTGCTGGTGCTGTCTCTGCCCAGATGGGTCCTCTGGCTGCACAGTGTGGTGACACTGAGCACATCCCAAAGGGCAGTGGGGCTGCACAGTGTGGTGACACTGAGCACATCCCAAAGGGTAGTGGGGCTGCATAGTGTGGTGACACTGAGCACATCCCAAAGGGTAGTGGGGCTGCACAGTGTGGTGACACTGAGCGCATCCCAAAGGGCAGTGGGGCTGCACAGGTAGCAGGAGCATGAGCAAGGTGGTCATGGGTTTGTGGGCCGGGCAAGCCAAGAGGAGCCACCATGAGAAAAGCCCCGAAGGTGTCTCATAAACAGCTGCCTGCCTTTGAAGTGTGGCCAGGACAGGGCAGAGTAGCTGTATTCTGATTCCTTTTTCCATGTTCCTAATTGCAGAAGCAAGTGAAATGACAGCAGGTGGGAGGGTTGTCTTGGTGGTGGTGGTGCCATTCCACAGTTTGGGAGGAAAAACCCACCTTGCCCTGCTGCCTTTGAACCCCGGGCTGTCTGCCTGGTGTCAGCAGTCAGGGAGTCACGCTCACGTGTGGGTGACCCTGGGAAGCACTTGGCAGTGACTTGGAGAGAGGTTGTTTCCTTGACAGAGCCCATGTGCATCTTCTCCCTTCAGCGTAGATGGTGTGGGAAGCACTGAGTGAATGATTAATTGGTGTGAGGACCTGGCTCCATGCTTGCAGGCAAAATAAACAAGATTTCTTCCAACTGTCACTGATACCCTCAGATCAAGAAGGTTGTGAGCTTAAGGATTTCAGGGAACAGCTCTCAGGCACAACTCTGGTACTTTGGGGAGGAAATCAGTTCTGAGGAGGATGGGAAGTGGTTCTGGCATCCTTTGAGCCCAGCAGACTCCAAGGCAGTGCAGTCCTAGGGGGAATATTCTTTCTACAGTAGCTATTTCTGCAGGGCATGGCCATACCTTTTGCAGTGTAGTCAGAGCAAGGAGGGTGGATAAGAGCTGTCCATCCAATTCACTGCAGGATGTTGGCACTGAGCTGAGTCAGGGTTCCTGCTGGTGGGCTGCACGGCTGGAATACAGGTCCAAAGGGACAGATGGGTCGGTGGTGACTCCCTGGGGCTCTGCAGGGTCCCTCTGCCAGCAAAGGGAAAATGCCAGTGTAGTCCCTGAGGAGGGCTGCGGGAGCCCTGAACCCCAGGAGGCACTGGCTGTCTGGGGATCCTGTGCCAGGATCCTTGCTTAGGGCAGAAACCTTCGTTGCCTGTGTGTGTGCCGAGTTGCCTCTTATTTTTAAACAGCCCTGGCACCCCCCAGAGCTGCTAGCCCTCGGGTGGAGCAAGGCTGTGCTATTCGTGAACTCTAAAACTTGCACTTACACACAAAAAAAGCAGTGGGGCAGTGCAGGAGGCTGTAGGGGACTGACTGCCTTAATAACCTCACCCTGGGCACAGAAGGCTGCTTGTGGTCTATTTTTAAAGGTAAATAGCTGGAAATAAATTTGCCAGGTGGTGGCATAATATAACCCCGAGCTACTGGGATGCACAAGGTCCCTTGGGCAGTGCACTGCTGAACTCGGTGGTTTTTAGAAACTTTGTCTCCAATTCTGTGAGGTCCAGGCCAGGGTTTGCATCCCCTCTGCCCAACCAGAGGGTTTAGAGCCATGGCAGATCCCTCATGGGACTGGGTGTCCCCAGGAAAGCTGCCCTGTCCGAGGTGGGACGGTGTGTGTGGTGCTGCCCATGGCTGGAGGTGGATCTGGGCAGGACACCGAGGTGCTAGTGGGCACGAGCACGTTCCCTGGAGCAACTTTGCCTCAGGAAGGATCCCACCTACCAGCAGGGTTGGATGGGGTGGCAGCAGCTCCCAGAGCCTCACTGGCATGATCCACCAGACCTCCTCATCGAGAGACCTGACTCCAGAGTGGATCATCCCAAAACACTGCTGCTGCTGCCTGTGCAGAGGCAATCCTTCGGGAAGCACAGGAAAATGCCAGGGAAGTGGCTTTGCTGTAGGAAACTTTCCCTGGGCAGGTGGAGGGAGGTGCATGCCAGTTCCTAGGGCAGACACTGATGTGTCAGTGCCATGGAAAGGGCAAGGCAGGGAGGAAAACCAATGCCTTGGCAACGATGAGTGTTCCCTGCTGAGTGCCAGCAACTTAATCTGTGCGGATTGCATGTGAGGGCTGAGTGTGGGGCTGGTTTCCTTCCTGGCTGAGGGGGGAAGGAGCAATGTTTACTGAGCCCAGGAGCAGGGTCCTTTGGACTGTGTCCCTGCATGGCTCCCTGGAATGGTTGCTGGCATGGAGACAATAAAGTTGTCTGTGGTGTTTTGTCTCTATTAGCAGAGATCCACCAATTAACTGTAATTCATTGTGGCAGGAAAGAGGATTAAAAACAAATGTCTAGTTATTATTCCAAATTTATGTTGGCTTGTGCAAGGTACCAGAGTGTGGGGGTGGCAAAGCCTGCCCAGGAAACCTTCAGCACCCTTGACTGGCAGCCCGGCTGTCGCCCCACTGCCCTGGGGACACCTTCCCCCACACAGTACTCCAGCTGCTCCAGGGAAAAATGGCTTCTCCCCTCTTGGAAGTACTTAAATGGGCTTTAGCATCGCTATCCCTTTGGTGAGAGCAGTTGTTGCCATTTGCTCCTGCGTGGAAGGTGTCCCTGTCAGAGAAGATGCCACCACAGTGCTGGGCTCAGGAACCAGCTCACTCACAGGAACTGAACCCCTGAGCCACGACACTTCTGCCTGCATGATCCCAGGCCTTGGAGCATCTCCTCGATTTTTCAAACCTTTGAGCCTGCATAAGCAGATATTGACTTTTCTAAAGAATTTTGGTAATTCCTAGGACTAGGAGGTGCCAAGAAATAATCCAGAGCCCCTTTAGATGAACTCCTTCTTAAGCTTAAAATGTGCCCTGGCTGTGTTCCTGCAGGGTCAGTCTGGGCTTGTCTTTCGGTTTGTTTGTGCTTTGCCTGTGTTTTGGATTGCCTTCCTCCCCCCTGAGATTCAGGGCAGCATCCACGAGGAGATTTTGGAAGGACAGCATGTGCTGTGTCTCTCTGTGAAGGAGCGGTGGTTGATGCTGCCAGCTCGGGATATGATTGCTGTGTGAAATGGATTGATCAAAAATGTGATACCTTCTCTGTCAGTAACACGTGCCTTCATTTGCAGGAAAAGAGGGATCCCTCTCCCCGGCGACACTGTTGAGGAGCTCCTGAAGTACGTCAGCTATGACACACCGCTGACACTTCCCCAATTTCTAGAGAAATTTAATTACTACATGCCCACTATTGCGTAAGTACCCTGCTTTTTGCTTCTCCCCCCTCAACCCTTGGCAGCATCCCTTGGCTCAGCCTTGGAGGTTCCCTGTGTGCCCTGGGGGTGAGCAGTCCCAGGTGATGGGTCGCACTGCTGTCCCTGCAGGGGTGACCGTGAGGCAGTGAGGAGAATCGCCTATGAGTTCGTGGAGACGAAGGCAAAGGAAGGAATCGCCTATGTGGAGGTCCGGTACAGCCCTCACCTCCTGGCCAACTCTGGCGTGGATCCCATCCCCTGGGGACAAGCTGAGTGAGTGATCCTGCTGTGCCAGGGAGCTGCTGGGTGGCCAGTTGGGCATGGAGAAGGCATGGCTCACTCCGGACAGCAGCTGTGTGTCCAAAGCCTGCTGTAACCAAAGCTCCTTTCTCCCCCCATGCAGTGAGCACCAGCGTGCTTCCACCTCTCCTTCCCACCTGTAGGGTTTTTCATCTTAAATACCTCTGCGTGCTGCTGTGTTTTAACATCCCTTGCTCTGGGCCCTGGATTCTGCATGTGCAGGGCAGCTGTGCTCAACCTTCTGGCTGGAGCTGTTCTCTGTGCGAGGCAAAGCAGCCTTCACATGTGGACTGCCTGCAAAATGGGAATTTGACCTGGCAGAGATGGGGGTGGCGTTGGAGGGGGCTGGTGATCCAATCCCTTCCTTACATGTCATCCCCTCTGTGATGTGTGCCTCTTATTAAATCAGTGCTGGACTCTGTGGCCCCTCCAAAATGTGCTGTGGTGGGCATTGAGCCCCATGCTTGCCCCTGCCTGGCTTCAGGCAGCTGTGTGCCCTAATGAGATGCTCTGGCAAAGAGGGGGTTCCTCTAGGCAGGATTTGCCCCTGGTTCCCTGAGGCATTTCTAAATCTTACTGTCATCTTCACGTGCTTCTGTGCCCAACATCTGGTAAATGTGGGCATGGCATGGGTGTAAAAGGTGCTCATAAGTTCTGGGTGGTCTCATCGGTTGCCTCTGGATGTTGAGGCAGGTGGAGCCCCAGGCAGCCTGTCTCCTACCTGCCTCCCTGGCTGATGTCTGCCCTCTTGCTGATGGCTTTTCTTCCCTGCAGGGGAGACCTCACTCCAGATGAAGTCGTTCAGCTCGTAAATCAGGGACTACAGGATGGAGAAAGGGATTTCCACATCAAAGCCAGGTCTATTCTATGCTGCATGCACCATATGCCAAGTAATGAATTGCAGCTCCCCTGCTGCCCTGCTCCCCTTCCCTGGCGTGTGGCGGGGGGTGATGTCCCCTGGGTTCAGGTCCCTGCACAAATGTGGGGAAAGCCCTGGTCCCTGGGTCTGATGCAGGACCAGAGAGTGCTGAGGAGGAGTTCTTCCTTGGTGGGGGTCCTCTGCTCCCTTCACTGTGGGAAAAAGGTCTGCTGGATGAGAGAGGGGGGGTCTGTGGGTATAACCAGTATGTGAAACGTCTTGCTCGTCTGTCCTCTGCCTGGGGAACTGTGATCTCTGCTCCCTGCCCTGGGGAACTGTGATCTCTGCTCCCTGCCCTGGGGAGCTGTGATCTCTGCTCCCTGCCCTGGGCAGCTGTGATCTCTGCTCCCTGCCCAAAGGCCAGAGCACCCCTTGGGCCAGTCAAAGCCATTGGCACAGGGAGCACTTGCATCTACCGTGCTATCTGGTGGATCTGAGAGCAAATGGTCGTGGAAGGAGGACTGAGATCTCACACTTCCTGCTCATGGTCCTGCTGCTACAGCAGCATGTGCTCCTTCCTTAGCCTGGATCACGGGGCAGCCAGAGAATCCACTGGCTGCAGTCAGTCTCTGCTGGCTTAAGATGAAAACACAAGTCAAATATACTTAAGACACATACATAAAACGTTTTTTAAAAAATCAGCAGCTCTGAACTTGGTCAGTAACTGGTGCTGTGACCCAGAATAGGAAGGAAACCTGATTTCCAGCATTTCAATGGGCTGGTGAGTTCTGTGAGGACCTTCCTCCAGGGAAGAATGCAGTCAGAGAGAGAGTGTGTGACAGCAGCTGTTTTATGTGAAGACTTTTCTCTGAGTATCTTCATATCTCACATCAGTTTCATATAGGCTTAATAGGGTAGATGGTGGAAAGATTTTTCCTAATGAGTACATGGTTAATTTGTGTCTAGAAATGTGAAAAATTATATTCTTGGAAACTAGGAGATTGGAGAGTGGTTTTTTTCCTGCCTGCACAGCCAACTGCAAACAATACTTTGAAAACTTGACCCTGTCATTTCTGGTTTCTGGGAAGAAAACACTTTTCTTTGTAGAAACTGGAAAGCTGTAAGGCACAGTCACCCTGATCTGCAGTGTGCCAGCACACGAGTGGTAATGGCAGGAGGCAGGAGGTGGCAGGAGGGATTGCTTGTGGAGGCAACAGAGTTGGCATTCTCATACCTGTATCCCAGGGCACCAGCTCTGTTACCCAGAGCCAGTAATGCGCTTGGTAAAGAGTCTTTAGTGCTACGTTCAGGATATGCTGCACAGCATATCACCTGTGATATTAATTACCCTGTGAATAATGAATGTTGAGAGAAAGGCAGAGATGCCAGCCAGAACTAGCTTGTATTAAACTTGTTAGTAAAATAGTGGCTCTGACCCAGTGAGTTGGGAACTGATGAAAACAAAAAGAAGATGAAATTGCACACATCCTCTTATGTGTTCCTATGGTTTGGGGATTGTATGTACACAGCAGGTGCCTGTTAATTATTAACACTACTGTTTATCTCTGTTTCTTGGCCTTTTTGCTAAGGTTAAGTGCTACGTGAGCTGGTAGATGAACCTCCTTTAGCAGACGTTATCTGTCCTGATCAGAGAGAGCTCTGAAGTAATTGTCAGCCACTTGTTACTCTCTTTCTCACTGATGTCAAATAGATAAAAGTTCAGCTCCTTCCCACCAGAAGTAGAATCCATCGTCTTGCCCCGGGGAAGTCGAGGATGCCCTAGAACAGGGCATGGCTGACTGTTATACAGGGACCCCAGAGATCCCTCTTAGCCCAAACTCCTCCTTAACACGACACATCCAACAGATCCCCGACCTGGGATGGGGTGAAAGTTCAGGAATGAGTTGAAGGAGTTCTCCAAAGCACCATGTTACAGCCTCAGGGCAATGCAGTTCATCTTACCTCAAGCCAACTGCAGCAGTCAACCACTGGTTGGAGGGGATTTTTTTATTATTTTTTTCCCCTTGCTCAAAGTGAACAGAAGAACATGATAAGAGCAGTTTTATAGCTGGTGAATGCATTTGGTTTCCCTTTCCTTGATGACAGACTGATCAGTTGACAGCTTTTATTTGCCTGAAGATGACAGACTTTTCTAGGAGTTTCTTCTTGGAGCATCAAATTTTAGGAAAGACCAAAGAAAATAGCCCTAGCCTTCTAGTCATAGGACCAGGATTTATTCATTAAAATGCTTCCTCCTAAATACTGGTGCTGTCTCTTCCAGGCTGGTCTCCAGAGGTGGTGGAGCTGTGCAAGAAGTATCGAAATGACTCTGTGGTGGCCATTGACCTGGCTGAAGGTCAACCTTCAGAGACCCTAAAGGTGGAGATTGACTCTGAGCATAAGAAGGCTTATGAGGTTTGTGGAATTAAGCTTCTTAAAAGAAATTACAAGAAAAATACGTATTGAGGGGACGTGTGTGAAGGGACAAGCAGCACGTTTTTCCAGCTGCAGACGGCTGGGACAACTTAGAAATGTGTTGCAGCTATTAAAAACAGAAATGTTTGTTTATATTTCCTAAATGATTAAAGGCAGGAATCACTGCTTGAACGTGGTCTTGGAGCTGGGGCTTGGCACACTACTCTGTAGCACTGAACGTGACACAAGTGACGTGGAGCCCAGATCATCCCCCACCCTGCTGCTGTCAGCCCCTGGGGCTCAGTGGAACCATGGCCAAGGGTGGAAGAGACTGGCCTTTCCAGTCTGCCAGAAATCAGCCGAGGAGCTGAGAGGAAGCTGCACATTTGAAGGGCTTTTTTATCTGATCATCTCAAATACAAACACTGTAATAGCTTCGGGAGCCTGATCCCAGACTCTTACTAGACCTCAGCCTTTGCAAAGGTTCTAAGGGAAAGTCTTGTTCCTCTTTGCTAGTGGGAATTTGGGGTTGTTAGTCCCCTCCATCAGTGGGGGAGGAGGTTGTGCACCACCATTGGCAAAAAAGACAGTGGTTTGTAAGCAGTGCTTAGGTCTGAAAGCACGTGGGGCTTCCTGGGGCCTTCACCCCATCAGTGGGAGCTGATACAAAGTCTGCCTGCACTGCTGTGCTGAGTGAACAGAGTGATTATAAACCCAGATGCAGGCACAGGGTTTTATGAACAGATGGGCAGATGTGTCTTATCCTCCCTGCTGTGCCAGCAGTACCCAGGTCCAGCCTTCTCCATCTGAAGGGTGCATCTTGTCTCTGTGCCAGGGGCTCGCTCAGGCTCTGAGATGCTGAAGCAAACCCCACTCCCATCTGCATTAAGTAACTGAAAATCCCTCCTGAGTGCAGAGCCCTGAAGGACTGTCTGTGAGGAGCGGCTGCTGCGGGATGGGGCTTGCAGCCTGTCTGCTGCTGCCAGCTGGGTGGCCCTTCTCCAGCAGCCAGGAGCCAGGCTTCCCTCGAGGCTGCATGGCTTCCCAAAGCCCAGGTGGCCTCTGGGCCACCCTGGCAAAGGATTTTTCGGGTTGGCCATGGAGCTGCACCAAAAGCTGCACCTGCAGGGTCCTCTCGGCTGGGCTGCCTCCATCCCAGCCCCTTACAGGAGGGAGGTGCTCAGTGTCAGAGCATTTCTTCATCTCTGCCCTGGGGGGGGGCTTCTAAATTCCCTCACCTGGCTGCAGCTGGCCAAAAAGGTAGAAGTTCCACAGGCTGGAACTGCTGCAAGGTTCATGCAGAAGGACAGGTGGGTGGAGGAAGGGGAGCTTGGAGCTTGCTGCTGTCTGGAGAAGAGGCAGTGATGAGCTCACCCAAAAAAGCCCTTGAGGAGCCTGGCTGGGCTCCAGCAGAAGGTACCAGGATTTCTCAGTGTCTCAATTTGTGGCTCTTCTCTTGCAGCCCTTGGAGTGCGGAGCCTGTGACCTGTGGGCTCTTGGCACAGAGCCCTGTTGCTTGCTGTGCCATCCCAGGGGTTTGCTGCCCTCGCTGCGGGTGATGGGACAGGAAGATGTTCTCCCTTGTTTTGCAGGAAGCTGAGAGATGTGGGATTCACCGCACTGTCCATGCTGGGGAGGTCGGACCTGCTGCCATGGTCAAGGAGGTACAAGGAGTTCCCGAGTCAGGGCAGAGAGAGGGGCAGGGCTGGGAACGGCCCTGCATCCCCTGCACCAGGGAGAGAGGTGTGCCAGCCCTCTCTGTAGCCACAGCACAGCAAACACTGGGGACATGGCACAGTGGCTGGAAAGGGCCATCCTAGAGCAGGGTCAGTGGTGGGGCTGTCCCAGAGGTGGGACAGGGGTCTCAGGGCAGGCAGGAGCCGAGCTGGTGCTCAGAAGCTGTGAGTGGTTCTCCTGTGCTCCTTTTAGGCAGTTTATGTCCTGAAGGCCGAGCGCATTGGCCATGGATACCATGTCCTGGAGGACCCTGAGCTCTACAAGGAGCTGCTGAGAACAAAGATGCATTTTGAGGTAAGGATGTGTGGTGGGAGCATGACAGCTGCTGTCTGAGTGGAAAACCAGCCCTTGTTTGGGCTGTGCTACAGCCAGGGGCACGACCTGATACCTGAGTGCTGACCACACATATGGTAACATTGCACTGAACTCAGATGCCCAAAGCTCCACAGCAGAAATGGTGGGGACACCTGTCTGTTTGCTGGAACCTGTTGCAAGGAGCAGCAGTGCACACAGCAGCTTGTGGGAGGCTCATAGCAGAAAAAATGGATTCTGGCATGGCCAAGGATAAATTCTGGAGGGATTATTCACTAGCTTATATACCTCAAGTCTACAGGCTCCTCCTTCCACAAATCAGGCTGCTGTACCAGAGCAAGTCTGGTTAGAGGGTGGAAATGCCTGAGAGTTACTGTGCATGTGCAGATTTCCTTGGCTTTTCCCCAGAATGGTCATATCCAACTAATAGATGGAATATATGTGTATATACTTAATGGCATTGGTTTCCTAGCTGTGGTTGGCACATCGCTGGTGACTGACTGGCCATGGGAGACATCCCACTGACTCCTGCTGCTGTCATGTGGGTTGTGGGCTCTTTGCATCTGTGTCCTGGGACGTGCACTGGTCCATCAGAGTAGCACTGAGGGGCAGCTGTGAACAAAGCTCTAAGCCTATACCTGGCTTTACCAGTGTGCTGAGCTATCTGTGTCCACAGCTGGGGTTAAGATCTGCATGCTTGATTCTGCTTTTCATGCTTAACTCCCCCAAACAGGTCTGCCCTTGGTCCAGTTATCTCACTGGAGCATGTTCTCCGGACTTCACCAAACACCCCGTAATACAGTAAGACTTCTCAATTATATGCAATCTTAAATATCCAGGATTTGGTTTGCTTTACTGCTTTAAAAAGCTAAGACTCATCTAATTATGTAGGACAATGTGGCACATCCTTGTCCTTTGGCACGGGGGGAGCTGGTGCAGCTGGAGGGGTGCAGGGGTCCCTTGGGTTGGCTGTCCTGTCCTTCCTGCTCTGAGCTGTGGGGCATGAGGTGCTGCACCCCAGCCACTACTGGGAGGTCAGTGCAGAGCTGTGGGGACAGAAGCCACGCTCCATATCTGTCTCCAGCAGTTCCAGCTTCAGGGACAGCCCTGAGGTCTTTGCTTTTACTGCGTTTCATCCTGAGAACTGCACAGCGTCACATCCAGTGCTTTACCCACCACTTCAACCCCATTTCCTTACAGATTTAAGAAGGATCGTGCCAACTATTCTCTAAACACGGATGACCCCCTCATCTTTAACTCCACCATTGACAAGGATTATGGCATAGTCAAGGAATACATGGGCTTCACCGAAGAGGAGTTCAAGAGAGTTGTGAGTCAGCCCCGGCTGGGTGCTCTGATGCTGTCCTGGTGCAGCCCAGAACAAACTGCTGTTTTTTCTTTATGAGCTGAAGAATTTTCAATGGAAATCAGAAAATGCTGCCCTGGCCTTGTAAGCAGGAGGCTGAGAGGGTGCTGAGCTGGCTGGAGGGGGTTCTGGAGCACTGTGGGGGAGCAGGGTGTGGGCACAGGGTGGGCTCTGAGGGGCTGCATCTCCCAGGCTGACTGCCTCAGTCAGAGTGGAAATTGTCCTCTGAAGGTCTCACAGCAGGTCTGAGCAGCAGGAAAGGAAGGTGCCTCCTGCTTTTTTCCCCCTGTATTTGGAACTGCAGGTCAGTTATTTCAACTGGCCCAGGAATGAGCAAGATTCAGCAGGTACGAAAGTGCTTGCAGTTCTTCCACTTACAGCATGAGGATGCAACAACTGAGCTAGAAACAAAATGACTGCTGGTCACTGTTTTGGCACACACAGTCATTTATGTTTCTTGCTTACATCCTTGATTTTCTAATTATCCACCCAAGACAGAAAGACAGGGTAACTGTTGGGGGTTTGACTTACCTGGTTACCAAGTGAACCTTCCTGGTTTGAGTCAAGTCCTGGTGAGCAATTCCACCTACATGTCTTCCAAGATACTTGACTTGGGAAGAGCAGGAGCATCAGGCCTCCTCTCAACTCTGTCTGGTGGAACAAATCCCTTTCTCCTACTGACCTTGCTCTCTGGGTCTGGAAGGAGGAACAGGGACAGCTGTGAGCTCTGGGATCCTGGATCCACAGTTGTCCTCTCCTACTCTTGCAAAAGCCACGTTGTTCCTGTGTAATAAAAGTCCCTGCACAAGACAGGTGACCAGATTGAACTGCAGAGCCAGGCTGTGTCCCATCAGGCTGCCACCATGGCTGTGTCAGGAGAGGCTCTTTTCTGAAGGGGAGTCAGGAAAGTAGGAGCAGGTCTGAAGTGCATATCCCAAAAAACCCAAAGTATTTAAAGACTTTAAAGTATTTGCTTTGTGCCTGTCTCATTCCTCTTGGGACTGCTCTAGTGATGGGCCAGAGCAGTTGCCCTGTAAAACAAGGCCATGGAAATAAATAAATCTGAGAGTGGAAACTTTACACTCTCCCTCACCTGTTGCTGCTCAGAGCCAGATGTTCATGTCTGATATGTTTTAATGTCTCTCTTGTGTTCCCCCTCTTCTTCCCTAGAACATCAACACAGCCCAGTCCAGCTTCTTACCTGAGAAGGAAAAGCAGGAGCTGCTCAACAAGCTGTATGAAGCCTATGGGATGGTCCCCAACACATCGTGACCCGTCCCTGTGAGCCAGCGTGGAGCAGGGCCCTTCTCCGTGTGCTGACTCCTCCGTGCCTGTGGGAGCTCAGGGAGGAGGTGCCCAGGGTTGGTCTCTATTCCTGGCAGCCCTGTGTTAACCCTTACAATGCTCATCAGAATCAGACTATCACATTCACCCACCTATACCCCACAAACTCTCTCCCAAATAGGTATCCAGCTTCCTATCCTGTTATTGTGCAAGCAGACTGGATCTGCCTGCCGGCCTGACTCCCTTCTCCATCTGTCAGTGTTTCTGTACTGCAAATGCAAACAGAACATCCCCTGCTTTTTTTCCCCCCGCTCTTTCCCTGTTTTTCCTGTCCTGTCCCACTGACCTGCCTGGCCCTTGTCTACGGTGCTGAAATAACCACCTTTAACTCTGACTGTGGCCTGGGTTAATCTTTACCCTTGCAGGGAAGAGGTGTGTTAGTGCTGGCAGGGAGTGAGCAGGTGTTTCAGACACAGAGGCTTTATTCCTGTCCCTGTGGGTAGGAAGGTTTGGTCACAGCTCTGTTTACACAGGGTTAGTCTTGTACAAACAAGACTGGAACAAGAACAAGCTGGAAGCTGGTGCCCCTACCTATACATATGTCTGAAGGGCATTTAAAACAAAATACATTTTTTTTGGCATCCTTTCTTGGACAAGAGCTGTATTAGGCCTCCCAATGTCACTGCAGGTGACAGCTGTGCTCACAGCTGGCCACAACCATGCTTGCACATGCATAGGAAGTTGGAACAAAATTTTACCATTTGGGCCAAAGTCTACCTTCTGGGACTTTTCCCAGTTTTGTACTCATCCTGGAGAATTCCTAACTGCAGTTTGATCTTCCCCTATCTTTGTTTAGGACTTGGAGAAGCCATGGTCGATTGGCTGGTTTAACAGTTCTGCCCTCTTCCTGATTTGACATAATCATTAGGCACTCCTATGGCTGAAAAAGTAAAATTAGCTAGGGCCCAGTGTTGACTTGGGTCCCACCTGATTGCTTCTCTCACTCAACTACAACACTGGCTCCAAGTCAGATCTCTGGTTTGGTGGAGAATTTATACAGAAAAATTCACCGAAAATTCCTAAGTGATTTTGGTGCATAATAGTGTTTTTACTCCATAAGCAATACAGTTGTGCATCCAGAGAAGAGACCATCATTTTCTGATGTGAGTGTGTGGTGTGCTTTAGCATCCCAGGTGTCTGCCAAGATGCTTACTCCAAAGATACTGTACCAAAAAGTTGCCTTTGACAAGGGGCCGTGGTCACCATTACCACGGACAGACCATGGACCGGTCCAGCCTCATCCAGCAGGAACAGTGTGCTGGGAGTATTTCCATTCTTTCTGGGCTTCCATATTGATCTTCTGAGTAAAATACTCATCTCTGAAGTACGTGGTGCATATATACACATAGATAGATGAATAAGAGAGAGTGATTTTCTTATTTTTATAAAGCAAAAAATAAAGCATCCCTTTTAGGAACATGATTGCGGTAAGAAACAGGCCTTTTTTGGGTAGTTTCTCTCCAAAAATTCTTTCTGAAGAAGAGTTTCTTGTTTGGATTCTGCACAGTTGATTGTTAATCGTGTTTAATAAAATAACAGATTTATATTAAAGGTAAATCCTTTTGCCTTTTTGTTCAAGGGTGACTATTAGGAAGTGTGGTCCCCGTGAATCCAAAAAATCGGGTATAATGAACTGCCCAGAGGCTTTGATCTTTGAGCAGCAAAGGTATTTATTAGCAGCGCCGGGAGCAAGCCAGCTATTGCTGGAAAAACTTGCTCGAAGACTTCACACAATATCAGCAGTTTTTATACAATTTTTCATATGTGATTAAATGCATATTCAAGTGATTACATCATCTATCTATACATATTGATAACAGGCAGAGTATAGGTGGAGCTCAGGCGGGGCTTGGGGTGGTGCTTCTCTTGGCCCTCAATCTTGGGGGTAGTTCCATCCTTCCTCCCATGGGTCTGGGGGCTTATTCTCATCTTCCTCAGCTTGACCTCTCTTCTTTTCCATTGTTCTCGACCCGCTCACTGAAGCTTGGAAAAAGCCTCGGCTCCCGGCCTGTTTCTTCTATTCAAAGATCTACCTTATCCTACTGCATCTTAATTTATTACCTCTAGGCCTATTACATGTTCTTTTACCGTTCTCTTAAGTTTTGATCCAGTAAGGAAAACAGAACAAGCACAGATCGTTTTGGATGTTAGTAGCTTGTTAGCAGGCCCAAATTTCTTAGTTAACTCTTTTGGGCCTGGCCTCCTGTTTCAAATATAAGACCAAATTGGTTCACCAATGATGGGGAGGCAGGACCCTCACAGGTGGCTAGTCCAGAGCCAGAAATCATCACTGAGTCTTTATCGTACAACAACCTGCGGACCTTATGGACAGACGTTATTTGTCGCCCGAATGAGCCCATTCTGGTCTGGATGATCCGAGTTTGGGACTCTACGGGTGATGCCATAAACCTTGACGGCATTGAAGCGAGGTTCTTGAGGTCTATTGCCCAGGATGTGGGTATTGAGGAGGCATTTGTGAGAGAATCAAACCCCTGTCTCTCTGGGCACGGCTTCTGGATGGTGTGAGGGAGAGGTTCATTTACAGAGATCACTTGCAGGCAGATCATTGTACAAAGGGCTGGAAGACCATAGAGGAGGGGATCTTTCACCTGAGGAAAATGGCACTGTTGGAGGTACTGTTTGGAAGGGATGGGCAACCCACCTACAATCCTGACAGGGTTAAGTGTACACCACAGATGTATGTGGAGCTTCACACGTATGGGGCCACCCACACATAAAGGTTACCTGACATTACTGCAGGCTGGGGAGAAGCAAGAGCCAGTGATGTCTATAATAAATAAACTTCAGTTGTATGACAGTATGATCGAAGGACCGCTACAGGACTGCATCTCTACTGGAGAGACATTGAGTAAGGACCTCAAGGCACTAAATACAGAGGTGAAAGATAAACAGGAGAGACTGAAAGAGAAGATTGAGGGAGTTTCCATATGGCCCCAGTGAGAACCAGACGCCCCCCAGCTAGAGAGAGTGGACAGACCTCACAAACTGAGTTGTGGTATTTCCTAGCTGACCATGGAGAAGACATGAGATGGTGGGACAGGAAACCTACCCATGCCCCAGCAGCCCGAGTACAAGATTTGAAAGAGAGAGGAAAAGGGAAGTCCATGAAAGTGAGTGCAGTACTGGTACCCTGTGGGCAGGGATCTGACCCGCTAGAAGGCACCTCCCGTCGGTATTCACAAGAGAAAAATGCTGATTGGCAGGACAAAGACCAGTGTTAGAGGGGCCCTGCCTCTAGCCAGGTAGTGGCATGGGACAACCGTGTCTATTGGACTGTGTGGATCCGATGTCCTGGCACGTCAGACCCACAAGAATATCAGGCTTTGGTTGATACTGGTGTTCAGTGTACTTTAATGCCCTCAGGACATGTGGGACCAGAGACTATTTCCATTTCTGGGGTGACAGGAGGGTCTCAAGAGTTGACCGTGTTGGAAGCTGAGATGAGCTTGACCGGGAAGGACTGGCAGAAACACCCCATTGTGACTGGTCCAGATGCCCCATGTATCCTGGGCATTGACTATCTCAGGAACGGGAATTTCAAAGACCCCAAGGGACATAGATGGGTTTTTGGAATAGCTGCTGTGGAGATAGAGGCAGCTAAGCAGTTGAATTCGTTACCTGGTCTCTCGGAGAACCCTTCTGCCGTGGGACTGTTGAAGGTTGAGGAACAGCGAGTGCCAATTGCCACCACAATAGTGCATCACCGGCAGTACCAGACGAACCAAGACTCTGTGATCCCCATCCATAAGATGATCCATGAGCTGGAGAGCCCAGGGGTGATCAACGAGAGCCACTCACCCTTCAACAGCCCCGTCTGGCCTGGTTGTCAGTCTAATGGAGGATGGAGATTGACTGTGGACTATTGTGGCCTGAATGAAGCCACCTTGCTGCTGAGTGCTGCCGTTCCAGACATGTTGGAGCTCCAGTACGAGCTGGAGTCCAAGACAGCGAGGTGGTACGCCACTATTGACATTGCAAATGCATTCTTCTCCATCCCCTGAGCAGCAGAGTGTAGGTCACAGTTTGCTTTCACGTGGAGAGGTGTGCAGTACACCTGGAACCGACTGCCCCGGGGTGGAAACACAGTCCCACCATCTGCCACAGACTGATCCAGGCCACACTAGAGAAGGGTGAGGCTCCAGAACACCTGCAGTACATTGATGACATCATTGTATGGGGAGACACAGCAGAGAAGGTTTCTGAGAAAGGAAAGAAAATCATCCAGATTCTCCTGGGAACCGGGTTTGCCATCAAAAAGAGTAAGGTCAAGGGACTTGTTTGAGAGATCCAGTTCCTGGGGGTGGAATGGCAAGATGGATGTCGTCAGATCCCGACAGAAGTCATCGATAAGATCACAGCAATGGCCCCACCGACCAGCAGGAAGGAAACGCAAGCTTTTCTGGGTGCCATAGGTTTCTGGAGGATGCACATCACCAAGTACAGCCAAATCGTAAGCCCTCTCTATCTGGTAACCCGCAAGAAGAATGATTTCCAGTGGGGCCCCGAACAGCAGCAAGCATTTGAACAGATCAAGCAGGAGATTGCCCATGCTGTAGCCCTTGGGCCCGTCAGGACAGGACCAGATGTGAAGAATGTACTCTATTCTGCAGCTGGGAATAAAGGTCTCTCCTGGAGCCTCTGGCAAAAGGTGCCTGGTGAGACCCGAGGCCACCCACTTGGATTCTGGAGCCGAAGCTACAGAGGATCTGAAGCCAACTACACCCCAACAGAGAAGGAGATCCAAGCAGCTTATGAAGGAGTACAAGCTGCCTCAGAGGTGATTGGCACAGAAGAACAGCTCCTCCTGGCACCTTGACTACTGGTGCTGAGTTGGATGTTCAAGGGAAAGGCGCCCTCTACGCATCATGTCACCGATGCTATGTGGAGCAAGTGGATCACTCTGATCATGTAGTGCACCTGTATTGGAAATCCGAATTGCCCTGGGATCCTAGAAATCATCACAAACTGACCAGAAGGTGAGAATTTTGGTCTAGCAGATGAAGAAGAAGGAGAGCAGGTGGTACAGGCTGAGGAAGCCCCAGCATACAATCAACCACCAGAAGAAGAAACACGCTATGCCCTTTTCACTGACAGTTCCTGTCG